GTCCCTTCCAGCCCTAATCTCTATGAAATCTATGAAATCTGCTACTATGCCCTTGGGCAGCAGATTTAAGCAGAAAGTGGGGGAGGGAGAGGAAGAGGAAGAGAGAGTTGTCTATCCTGGGATACTGGAGGACCTGGCCAAACACTATCTCCTTATGTGTGACAGGCCACACATCAAATTAAAGTTTGATAGGAACACACTTTAAAAATGTTCTACATTTTTTTCACATTCATAGCTTGTTGGTCATTTTTATAGCTCATGGGCCATTTTTTTATTGTGTGAGAATTGCTTTGCATGTGTAGTGTCTAAATGTATTGTTCAATTAACCAGTTAATTGTACAGTAAATGTAACACCTGCCAGGGGCCTCTGGTACACTTAGGTAGGTTGCAATGTGAAATATCAAAGGAGTACCTTAGTCCTTTGTAAAGATATGAATTTATTTGAAATCTATGTGATATAATATGAAACACCTTGAATTAACTTACAAAATGTATTCAAGTTACTATCAACATACATTTTGAGAACTAAAATTATAGTGAAAATATTATTTTCTCAGGAAGCACCAAGGGACATGGCAAGCATTAGAGAGCAAACTAAGAGAAGATCTGATAAGAAAAGGTTTGGAGAAGATGCATTGCACAAACAAGAGAAAAGAGAGGTAAAGAAAACACCAGTTTTAACCGGGGGAAAGAGACAACATTTGTACCATGTATCATTTCCCAAGAGTCCTTCTCTTGTGAGAAGTGTTTTAGAAATCTTGAAAATATTCCTTAATGTATATATCCCTTGACTATTTCTCTGTTTCTAGAAATACACATGATCACATTGCTCATATTTCAGAATACTTCATACACACTTTCACTGCAATAATATTGAAGTTCTTATAAGTGAAAATGTTGCCCATTCACATTTGTTTCACTTTTTACATACTTTTCCCTTTGGTTTTAGCCTTTGCAATAAGGCTATGTACTTTATTAAATATTGTATTTGATGCAAAGCAGTAGTAAATCAGGTAGTGGGAAATGGGGGCAGGAATAGAAATGATGTTTAAATCTAGGTATGGTTTTCTGGGTTCTGATTATGCAGTCAAGTCTTCCACTTTGTAACAAACTCTCTTTTTTTATAATAACTTTTAAATTCAATTTGTTTTTCTTCATTTAGCCTGATAAAGAAACAGCAACTTGCACTTATGGAAAGAGCATCATTCTTTCATCTGGAGTGTTTGTCTAGTCACCATTTTGTGGAAACTTCCGGCCAGTCCAATTCACTCAACACTGCAACTGCAGAGGCCATAGAGCTGCTTGGCACTGGGGAGAAGATATTTCTCTTCCGTGATGAAGTAGATCCAGTATTTTGTTTGCATAGTGCTGCAAAAAAAAAGAAAAAGAATTTTCTCAATTCCAAAAAGGCTGTTTTTGCAACCATGGAGTGATGATGGATGGAGAAATCAACTGAGTGCATCCATGGGTGAATTTTTCACTGTGCACTTTTCTGAAGAGCTAGCTAATTAGCTCTGCAGTGAAGCATCACATTCTACGCATGCATTGGTATTAATTCCACCATAGGATAGTACTGTCCGGGACAGTACTATCCTACAGTAGAGTATAACTCCACCAAAATGCACATGTAGACAGTGACCAGGGCTGCCTGGGGCACAAGGAGGCTGCCTGCTGCCTAGGCCCAGACTATAACACCCTCATGCCCCAGCCAGCTCCTCTGATGCCACCACCTGGAGCCCCTGCCAGTGTGGAGCTGCTCCACCCTGGCTCAGGCTGCTGCGGTCTTGGGTACACATGTAAACACTGCACCCAGAAGCAGCTGACTCTAGTGTGAACTATACTGGAATTTTATTTCTGCACATTAATTGAATACATAGTTACACCCAGTTTGAGAAGGGAATTTTTTTCCCAAAAAGATTATGAAAAAGGCTACAGTGTACAGTTTATATATTTGTAAGCAAACAGTTTTTGTTTAAGTTTTAATATTATGTTTTTGTCAGTGTAAATAGTTCCATTTTTAAACCTGGATCCTGTCCTCCGTCATCCGTCAGTAAGCAGCATATGCCTATTAACTACTGCATTTGTGCCTACAAGTGCCAATAGTGAATTTATATGGTGCACATAATGGAGGGTGGGAGTCTAGCCCTCACAAAAATCATTTTTTGTTATTTTAGCATGGATATTACTATGCTTTATATTTTTTTTAATTGTTTATATGTCTAGTTAATTTATTATGTGGTGTGAATCTCCGATTAACTGTATTGTAGGTTACAGTCTTAAGTACAGATAAATATAGGGGACAATTATATTGTGCCAGCTGTCAAAATTTGGTCATTTATGTGTTGTTAATAGTCACTGTTGTAAATTGGATTATAATTTTGCAAATTGTTTCTTAAAATTACAGTTAATAGATCAGATCCTCCAAACACAGATACCTGTATTTAATATGAGCAGCTCTGAGGACTTCAGTTTTTATCATTGTCACCTCTAAATTTAGCTCTAATAGGAGTCTTCAGATGAGTCGAGTTTGGCACAGGCATACATTTTTATAGGACCCAACTTAATCTTTATACTGGTGGAGCAATAATATTGCATTTGTTCACATTAAAAAGAGAAAATGGAAAAGGGGTATGCAGTATTTTCAAAAGGCAGTATGGAGTACGATATTGCTTGGTATCATAGTTTTAGGTGTATTTTGAAGGTACTAGTCCTGGATTTTAGGAAATCTATGAGAAATTCAGTTTCCGTTAAAAAAAAAAAGTCCTAGTCTTCATAGTTGATAAAAAAGCTTGAAAACTTGCATCCTAAAAACAACAACAGACAAATAAAAAGAGCCCGGACATTAATATGTTTTAATAAGTCACATATTTAAGCCTATCACATGATGTTTGGAGCCTGATTTACAGTTTTTGAATGCTAATGAACAAAATACTGCTTGTAGGAGTGGTCATATATTCAATATATTTTTTTATGTAAACCAGGTTGCAATTGATGTTAAAGGTGGCAGCTCTGGATTTATTGTAAAAATAAACAGAAAAATCACATTTCTTGACAAGCTAAAAATTTTATAATAAACTATGGAACCACTAATGTTTCTTTCTTATATTAACACATTTATGTGTACTGTATACACTCTGCCTACCCTGGAAATTTTCAAGAGGAGACTGGATGGTCACTTTTCTGGGGTCCCCTGACCCCAGCTGTCTTTCCTGCCTGGCACAGAGGGCTGGACCCGATGATCTTCTGAGGTCCCTTCCAGACTTTCAGTCTATGAATTGAATTATGACCTGATAATCTAAATTATTTCTCATCTTGTTTTTCAGTTGGCTAGCAAAAATTACTATCTCTACTGAGGCAAAAGTGTGTCACATTGCATCTTACTCTGGAACTCATGAGTCACTGTGAGTGCAAACAGAAGTGCAGCTCCCTGCTGTAACGGAGAATGCTTTGCAGGAAGCGTTCTGAGTTGCAGTGATCCCTCAGACCAAACAGAAATTCCATATTGGTTCCAGGGGAAGGGGAATCTAGCTGCTGGCTGGGAGCCTCCAGGTGGTTTCCTCTAGCCATGCCCCCTCTGACCTGCCAGCTCCCTACCAGCCCTGGCTGTTTTTAGAATGGAAGGGGGGAAAGGGAGCAGAGGGAGCTCATTCTTGGGTTTCCCCAGCTGGCACTGGAAGGTGCAGTGTGTGAATTGGAGCCCCACCCCCTCAAGAGGGGACTCCAATACATGCACCCCACCCCCCAGCAGGGACAAAAAAACCCCAAACTAAACTCCCTTTGCTCCTCCCCCCCCCCCCCCC